CAATTCCTTCCTATGTAAACTGATAAATTCTCCATTGACTGTATTCTCAGCTATAGTAAAACCACAAAGATATTTAGATATGATGATGAATTACTACTGGGAATAATACATAGTAATATTTTACACTTCTGGAATATTTTAACTCAAAACCCATAAAACACTTGCGTATCAGGCTAACTTTACAGATGCTGAAAAAGGAACCATAAGGTGAAATTCATTTTACCAAGGGAAATCCTGTAAAAGAGTCATAGTTATATCCCATAAGAGTGTGGAATGTGTTTCTACTTTTGTCCTCTGTTTGTGGCAAGTGTAACCCATACAGATAGCAATGAAATTTTCTCAATTTCAGATAATACAGAAATGGTACAATTTATTATTCCTTAATTCTGAAACTTTTGGCCTCTAGTATTTTCTGGTCCTTTTATTTCCTATCAGCGTGACCAAATCGAAACCGGGCATAAATCACCAAAAGTTTTTAGCTGTGTGTTGTTAAATACCTTTGTTTGTTGTCTAGTAACTGTATCTCATGTAACTTCATAACTAATACACTAAATAAATGAATTGTAAGTCTTACAACTTGAGTTTCTAGTCCTGTTGATAACATGGCCCTCTGAAAATTTTCAAAGACAAGGAACTAAGTTCTGATCACTTATTTGAACTTAATCAAAATAAATCTAAAGGTATTTTCTGAAAAAAAATACAGCATTTACTGGCAAAAAAATATGTGCTCGGAACAGAGCACATACCTATTTTTTGTAGAACTCAATCTGCCAGACAATGTATATAAAGTTCACACAGACATGCTGCTATTTCTTTCATGAGAATAATAAATGTATAACATCAGGCAGATTTACGTATGAGCACAATCTGTTCCTTTCTACCTTTGGCTGCCCTGAATCAAGTCATAGGAATATTCAGGTTAACATTCTGATATTCAAAATGGGACCAATAATTTTATGATGATTAATCATAAAACACAACACTTGAGACTGCTTCCAAAAATCTGGCCTTGCTTTTTCTCTCTGTAACTACCCTGTGCAGCCAATCAGGGAGACCTTAAGATTATGAAATACAAAACCAAAAAAGCATAAATTTGTTAATACATGTGCACTAGTATCTTGGTTTACTCTACTTTCTTTGAGTAATAAAGTTTCCAGAGAAACTGCACAATGAAAACTAGATGCTATTTAGACCAGCACATCTCTTACTAAGGAGGTACATACTTAAAGCTCTAAGTTACTTTTCTGCTAATTATTACCCACACCCAAACACAAAAAATTTATTTGGTCTTCTTTTGGTACCCACAGGCTCCACTTTATTCCAGAAGACAAATTCTATTTAATTTCACCTCCTCTCCCAATAACAGTAAGAGGTCCAAGAGAAACTGAGGAATAAAATGTAATAACAACTTTTAAACAAGTTGGTGCAGTGGACTCCTCAACAAATGCGTACTTATAAAGGCAAGTGTGTGATTGCAGTGTATGCAGGATGATCAAGTACTATTATCTTTTATCCAACTACTTCAAGTACCTACAGAACTGCGTAAGGAAAATTTCTGAGGGTTTTATATAAGATGAAAAACTTGTTGCAAAGAATTCTATCTGCTGGCATAATTTCTGGCCTAACTTAAATTTCAGCTATTAGGTTCAGCAATGAATTTATGGGATGTGGCACAGGACAGTGGTGTCCTGCAGCATTCTACTATTAAAGCACAAAATTGTGAATCTGAGTTAAACAAAGGCAGCTATACAAGAAGTTTTAGGCCCATTTCTTGAAATAGCCCATGTGAATCCAATTCTTTGCTGTTTTCATAGGAACTAACTTCAGGGCTTGGTTTGTGTTTTGAGTTTAAATGAAAGCAACACGTAGTTTTGAACTAGCCTGAATATTCAGTTCCATAATTCCATCTGCTGGGCTCACTGACTGATTTTGGCAGCAACTCTTTACCTCTTCATACCTTAGTTTTCCACTCTATACATAACAAAGAAGACATTGCTCTCTTTTCTGTGTGGGCTTTGGAATACACAGGTACTAGGCAGCTATCTTTGCCACCTTTTGAATAAGCAGAGTAAGTATCTACCACCTCTACATACCAAAAGAAAGGCTGAAGTGGAGATACTACTATTAGTAGCAACAGTCAGGAGCATCTTGAGTGTAATGTCAAAACATATTGCCTGCGCATTGCTTCATAAACCAGAAAAACATTCCACTGACACAGGTGTTTTAGGGAATGTTGCTACCACATTTACAACTGCAAAAAAATATTAAGTCATCAGAATGACAGCAGTTAAAAAAAGTCATTGGTTGCACTTGTTTTATTTTGTAATTCAAAAACAGGAGAGATTAAGAATGAACATTGGCATCTAAAACACCACTTAGATATGAATATCCAAAATATTTTGGATGGACAAGGACATTACATTCGTATTAAACAACCTCCTCATAATGCTCAACTTCTGTGAACAGTGTGGAGGCTCAAAGTCTACTGTTAAATCACTGCATACACTTATAATGTTTTATTGTCCTGTGTTTTAGAGTCCAAACTACTATATTTTCATAGTTCCGTTCAAAAGTATATTACCTGCAGATAACTGTAAATCATTTCCCATAGTACCTCTACAAAACTGGCTACTTGAAACTCCAAGAGATTTATGGATGCTGAGACTGGAATGAACATCCCTTTGCAAATGGACAGATGGAAAAAGTCCAAATTACTTTTCAGATTAAAGTCATAAACTGACTTTTCTCAAAAACTGGTAGCAGTTTTTGGAAGCAGAAAAAACTTCTACGTGCTTCTGTGATGTCAAAGATGAAATCTCTGTTTGTGGAGGTACAATCTGTAGCAAGAACACACGTCTGCCAAGACTCTGGCATTGATGATATTTCGTCTAGACAGCCTTTGAATGTGACTGACACAGGAACAGTGCACATGGCTGAGCAAACTGAAACTTATGGAAGAGCTTTTCAAGACTTAGTCAAGACACAAGATTTTGGAAATGTGCCTAACATCCTCCAATCATGCCTCCTGGTATCCTCCTCAGGAATCTAAGTGGTTTTGTTCCATCGAGTCTCCTAGTTGTCCCAGAGAACAGTAAGATAAATTTGCTTACATAAGATGCTGGCAGGGCCATTTGGACGTAAGGAAATATTGTCAGCAAGAGGAGAGTTCTGCATGCTGGCTAGTCACTGAAAGGCATTCAAGCCATTGAATTGTGTGTTATTTTGAAGGACTGAAGACTGTAAGAAACTGCTAAACCTTTTCTCAGCTACTGGGCTTGACTGTGGGAAACGCATGACAACTATTAGCTAAAGGAAAAAAATTACTAGACGCAGTTGATAACTATTCTAGATATTTTAGAAAGTACTACATATTTACCTTGACCTTTTGAGGCCCTGAACCATGTACATGCTTTGATGGAAAAGTCCACATGAACTTGCCATAGACAAGGCTATAATTTTTGGGAAATGATGACTGTCATTTACAGTTAAATTTTCACTGTTTGACAGCCCTGGTTGACTTAGTTCTCAAGCAACTGTCAGGGCTAAGAGAAAAGAGAAAAGGGTGAAGGGGACTCAAAGAGATTATCGGCTTTTAGCTTTAGTTGGTTCACTTCCAGTGACAGTTCCACTGTCACTGAAGTCAGCAGCTACCCCCCTAACTTACTGGGATTATATTATAACTTCTATTAACCAATATTACAGACAGTACTGTTCAGCAACCCAAAAGGTAAAAAAATTAGATTCTATTAGTCCTCCAGAGAAACATCAAGCCTTAAGACACCAATTTACAGTTGCAGCAAAAGCACTGCTGTAGATCCTCAGAGCTTCAGCAAATTTTTGCAACTAAAAGAAATTACCCTGGTTAAGTGAAAAATGCAGATGATGCTTATTCTCTGCAAATAAAATATGGACCTCAGTGAACCTTAACTTAATCCTGACACAGAAATTTGCACACTTGACCTGCTTGGCTACTAGTGCTTTAATTTGGTCTCCAAGCCCACAAACTCAACCTACTGAGTCAGTAGCATGCATGCAGGTAATAGCAGCAATACTCGTGAATCTACAATGAAGTTCTGAGAGAGGTGTTATCACTGGGAGGCACTGAAATACTTGCATTTTGGGACTTTTCAGTAACTGAGTTGGAACCGCAAAATTTCTCACCTAATTACACCGTGGATACAAAGAAAGAAAGAAAAAAAAAAAAAAGTATTTTGATCTAGGTACTAGGTGCAAGTTTGCTATCACATTTCTGAACCAGAAATGAAGTTTCTCCTCCCACCGCCTCTCTTCCTCCCGCCCCCTCTCCTCCCACCTGCACTAAGGAAACACTTGTTGTGGAGGCAGCGAGCCTAGGAAGCTCAGATTAAAAATAGCCCTGGCTAGCACCTGGTGTTTTCCAGCAGGCCAGCGTGCTGGTGACTCTTCCAGATCTGGACCCTTACGAAGAAATATAATGAAAGGACATGGCTTTTATTTCGTACACTCGTTTATGGATTTGCAACCAAAACTAACTGGATCTGGCAAGTTGGAGTTGCCTAGCACTTTTTCCATCACTGACACAATTGCACCTGTCACGGATGGATTCCTCAGAAGGGCCAAAGGGAACAAGACATATATTTTATTTTGGCGGCACACGGGAGCCAGATGCTGGGCCAGCACGTTCTGGTGTTCACTGTTGGCCATTAGAAAAGGGGAAACACATCATCTGGGCACTGGGCTGGGTGACAGGCCGTCAGGCGCACCTTCCCCGCGGCCGCTTACACGCAGCAGCCGCTCGGCTTTGTCCGTGCCTCTCTCCGTTCAAAGCACCCGGCTCCGCCGTATCCGGCTGCCTCCTCTCACGGCCGGCCCTGCAGCCCCAACATGTCGCCGCCCCGCTTTAAGGTCACCGCATGGCGAGGCCGTCGAGCGCCGGGGGCCGCGGTGCGCCCGGGCCGCGGCCGCTGCACGGGCAGCCCGAGGGAGGGGGCAGGGCCACGGCCGCCGCCGGGGGCACTTACCAGGTCTATGAAGGTCAGAAATTTCCAGCTGCCTCCATAGGTCTGATGCGCGGGCATGTCAATGGCCTTGTAATTGCACAGGATGGAGCAATAGGATAGGAGGATGGCGGCGCGCAGCACCTGGCAGGGCACCAGCGCCATGTTTGCGGCGCGGGGTGCGCTTCCGTGTACCCGTGTCTGTGTCCGTGTCTGTGTCCCAGTGCCCCGTGTGCGTGTGTCCGCGTGTCCCGGTGTGCGTGAGTGTATCCCCGTGTGTGTGTGCGCGCCGTGCGGGCGGGACTCCGAGCGCCCCCGCGGCCCCGGCCGGGGCGGAGCGCAGGGCCCGCGCGGTGCGGCGGCGGCGGCGGCGCGGGGCAGGGGGGCCGCAGGGCCGGGCGGGCTGGGCGCGCTCCCGACCCTCAGCTCCGCGGCCGGGCCGGGCTGGAGGAGGCCGGGCCGTTCCCGAGGGAGCGGAGGGACGGCAGTGTGAGCACGAGTGAATTGCAGAACCCGGCTGCCCGCCGGCTTTCAAGCGAGAGCTACAGTAGATCAGCAATTACGGGTTATAATTGCCTTGATCGGAGGAACGCTGTGGCTCGTGTGTACCCCCGGGCCTGGCGACCCCCCCTGCGGCCGGCGCTGCCAGTGGGCCGGCGGAGCACGTGCCTCCGCCCCGGCGGCGGGAGCGCGGCCCGGGACGCTCGGGAGAGGCCGCGGTGGGGGCGCGGCTCCGGCCGTGCGGCCTGCCTGCCGCTCCGGGCGTGCCCTTCGTGTGTCCGTGCCCTTCGTGTGTCCATACCCTGCATGGGTCCCTGCGCTTCGTGTGTAAGTACCCTTCGTGTGTCCATAGCCCTCATGTGTCCAGAGCCTTCATGTGTCCATATCCTTTGTGTGCCCATACAGTGGCCCCGCCGGGCAGAGCATTTGTTCTGCCCTCTCTTCCTGAGGCACCTTCAAGTTTCTGTGTTTCAACCCGTCCCACACAGACGTTCGCTAGAAGTGGGCTCTCCCATGCCTACAAGCTCTGTGAGATGGGAGCCTCCTGATCCCTGGGTTGAAGTGAAGTACCCCTGTTATAAGGTGTGATGCCCTGGGACATCATGCCGAGGGACTGGAGCATGCCTCTTACAAGGAAAGGTTCAGGGAGCTGGGCCTGTTTAGGCTCAAGAAGTGATTGCTGGAAGGGGATCTCATCAATGTCTGAGTAGCTTAAGGGAAGGTGGCAAGAGGATGGATTCAGGCTCTTCTTGATGGTGCCCAGCAGTAAGACGAGGCAACAGGCAGAAACTGATGCACAGGAAGTTCCACCTGAATATGAGGAAGAGCCTTCTGTGTGAGTGACTGTGCTCTGGAACAAGTTTCCCGGAGAGGTTGTGGAGTCTCCTTGACTGGAGATGTTCGAGAACTGTCTGGATGGAATGCTGTGCCATGTGCCCTAGGATGACCCTGCAGAGAGGTTGGACCAGATGATCCACTGTGGTCCCTTCTAACCCAACTCATTCTGTGATTCTGTGATTCTGCCATGTCAGCAGATGTTTGATCACCACAGGGGTCCTTGATACTAGGAGAAATCAAGGAGGACTCATGTTTAGATTCTTACACCTTAGAAAAGAAAGCTCTTAAGGTGCTTGATTGCAGGGTAAATATTAAATTGTTCCACCATCTGGAAAAGTTATTTTAAAGAGGGGAAAAAAAACCGCGAGCAGTGATGTCTGGGCTTGGATAGACAAATCACTTCTATAAACACTATCTCCATACATCTGTCTTATGAAATAAATATTTGAACAATAAGGTGCTTTATCATAGTTAAGCTACTGGAAGGCAAAAAGAATCAATGATTGTGCAATGTATTCCCTGCTTCTATTCCACTAAGTACAGTTAAAGCCTTTTCATCTGATATCAACTGCAAAAATGAAGGGCTTTTAGAACATGCTAGCAGCTATCATCAATGAATTTAGCACTGTTCAAGGTCTCTGCTTATGCAGAGGAATTGTATGTCATATGTATGCATGTATAAAGAGTCCTCTAGAACTATTAAGCATGATTTTAGCACCAGATGCTTTAGATAATCTTATCCCATCAGCTCACAGACCCAGCAAGCATGTTGGGCAGTCACACCCTTGTTTGTGGCGCGTGTTTTAGTCTTGCAGGCTAAAAGCCTTGCAGTCTCCCTGAAGCCTCAAGGTGCAGTGTAAGAGTCATCTGAGTATAATGTAATGGTCTGCAATACAACAGGAGACCAGACTAGTAACATTATCAGTGTGACCCAACAGGAAGGAGTCTGTAAAGCAGCAGAGCTGCTGGTGAGGACCTGATGTCTGTTTTGTATGCATGAAAGAGGTTTCACTTCTCTGGACCTGTGAATATTCATTAGTGGCTGAGGTACATTAAGTGAAACGCTGGAGCACATCTTCTGTTTTGGTTTTAATCAAAAGGAGTTCAGCTTGCTTTCTGAAACTGTGTCAGGTTTCAAAAGCTCTCAAAGTGAAGTTACTCTGTGCAGAACTCTACAGCACGACTGATTACATATCCATGCACACCCTTGTGCCTTGTGATCAGCCTCTTGACAGGAAGAGTTTGGGGCTGTCTAAGCCTTAGGCAGTTCGTCTCCTACTTCTCTCCTGCACCACCTCCTACAATATATAGGAACTCACTCCTCTGGTCACCTCTCTGTCAATAATAAGGTACTGCAAACACTAACACTCACTGAACGTAACTTGATAGCCACCTTCAGCAGTTTGCATTTTTAGTTGTGTGTAGTTTAAACAGTCTCTGAGGTTACAGCATCCTCAAAACTTTTTTAAAACTGAAAACCACCCAGGCATTTTGGGCCCCCATTTGAATGTTCTTCAGTTTTACTCTCCACTCATCAATAGACATCTCAGCAAGGCTCACAGAAAACCTTAACCTCATTAGAAAAGCTTTCACTCAGCCTTGTAGCTGAGCAAGGTGAAAGTCTAAATGAAGCAGACTATTGTACATTATAACACTCTTGTTTCCCGTTTTTTTTTTCTTTCAGTGAAGAAAATCTCAAGGAAGGCTAACTATCATGTCAGGTCCAGCCAAGCTTCTTCCTGGTCAAAAACTCTTCTTTATTATGCATTTCTAATTCCTACTTTTCAAAGGATAAAATAGAGCATAAGTCTGTTGTGGGTGGGTTTTTTGAGCCTGTGTCATTTCTAAAGGAGTATCTGTTGACTCTCTGTACAGTATTCTAATAAGGACTCAATTAGATTGGAGTCTGCCTTAACCTCTGTGTGCTGCTGTGGACTTCATATATTGAGAGACAAGCAGCAAAGTCTTTTGTGACTAGTTCTACAGTCACAAAAAAAAACTCCAGGTCTACAATGGATTATATTTTCCTTTGGATTTGGTCTTAAATATTTTTCAGCAAAGTAAAATTTAGGAATGTATTGCTTTGCCCTTTACATCGCTGTATGAATGCAATGTAAACATTTTTGTACTTTGGTAAAGTGTTTACATTTCAGGCTCTGGATTAAGTGCTTAAATCATAGATAGGTATACTTTAAGCATGTAAAGTCAGATATTCATGGCTACCCTGTCATTTTTCAGATCCCAATGTTTAAATACTTGTTTGTATGTAAATTGTGAAAAGACTCAATTTTCATAAGCAACATACTGTAAATTTATTTGAAAGTGGGATTTTGACACAGGTCATAGTTGTCATTCAACTGAGATGAGAGATGGCATTAGAAAGGAGAAAAAGTTCAAAGCACTAGTGTGTCTGGGATGGGAGATGTTATTTAGGGCTGTCTACTAGGGGAGGAGGCAAGATGCCTAAAAATCCATCAGAGAACTGACTGGAAAAATAATAATAAGGGGGGGTTTCCCATCCAATTGTATAAAATGAGTAGCATGGTGTTCTTGCTACTTGGCACCTTGACAGAATAAAGCATAACATCGTTGAGTCCAAGTTTTTATCTTTTCTAGGCAGCCTAGCAGATAAGAATGCTGAAGGAAATTTTGGGGGATTGGTTGTTTTATGTTGTTTTGTTCTGTTTTGGTTTGGTTTTTTGGGGGGGTTTGTTTTTTTGTTTGTTTGGTTTTAATTTTTTGGGGGGAGTTTGTTTTATTTTGGTTTTTTATTTTGCTTGGGGTGTTTTTTAATGGCTTTGGTTTTTTTTGTTTGTTTTCCATTTTTTTAAACAAATGACATTTGAATTTCTGAACAGAAATTTTGTTTTATTCTGTGAATATCAAAATATATTGGTGAGGTATCTGTGAAAGAGATTTTGAGACCCACAATGTGCCTTTCCTTAATTACTTTAAATGTAGATTAGTTGTTTACAAGGAATTATGCCACAAATACTTCCCTCCAAAGCAATGATAATATTATATTATATTATATTATATTATATTATATTATATTATACTATATTATATTATATTGTATTGTATTATATTATATTATATAATATTATATTATATAATATAATATAATATAATATTATATTATATTATATTATATTATATTATATTATATTATATTATATTATATTATATTATATTATATTAATTATATTATATTATATTATATTAGTTGCTGTAGGAAATTGCTAATACTGCCTCAACACAATGTGCTTATGGCAGTGCACCTGATACTGCAATTTCTAATATCTGAGGCATAGAGTACAAACTGTGCCAAGGTAAGTACTTGGATGTGTGGGAGTGTGACTCCCACATAAGCAGACATGCAAAAATTAAGCTTTCTTGCGAGGAACATAAGTGAAATTACTGAAACATTGCAAGTTAAAAATCAACAGGAAATTGTTGAAAAACCTCAGTGCCGAAGAGAAGAGTTTTTGAGAAATGTGCTCAGTTAATATGTATGTGTTTAATTTGTAGCTCTTTAGTCGAATTATGTACCACTCGGGTAGGAAATGGCCTCATGTATCAGGGGAGGATTCAACTCAAAATGTTTGGTAAAGACAGATACTGTAACTAGGCGTGTTGTTAAAAGTACAAATAAAGTTTAGGGAACTTTGTGTTTCTTCATTTACTTTGTATAGTTATAAATTACCTATATAATAGATTGAAGGATGGAGGAAAAAAGATAATAAAAATTAAAAGACTGCATTACTATGTGGTATAAAGAGCAAAGTGTTTTGATTTCTGGAACTACTTGGTTTTCTCATGACTGATTATTGTCTATTTACCTTCACATTTAGGTTTTAAGAATTACAGTGAAGTTACTAAGTTGGGATATGTTGTACTGCATATTGTACTATATATATGTATTTAAAATGGGAAAAAAAGCTGGAGCAGAGATGACCAGG